TTAAAATCTTAAATTTTAGTTGTGTAAATACGGCACACTTTGTAGCACTTCTTTACCAACGAGTAACATTTAGGCTCAGATTTTCTTATATTAACTATACAAGTTGAATACATTATATAAATTGGCTTTTAAAATCTTGATGTTTGAAAATCTTTAGTAGGTAGAAAATATATCGTATTTATTCATAACAATGTTGGCTATGTCTCTACGATGTGCTCAGGATTAGTTATCAAAGAATCAGGACAATATACAAGTTTGTAGAGTATGGATATTAGAAATTATGTAGGGTGGTTGTCTAAGAGTGGTCCCTGGGCAAGTTGCATCACCAGGTAACATGTCAGAAATGCAAACATCAGGCCCCCATCCAGAACTTTGGCATCAGACCTTCTGTTGGTGGGACCCAGCAAAGCCTTTGAACTAGTCCTCTGGTCATGCTGAGGCGTGTTTAAGTGTAAGAACTAGTGAACTAGACTAGTGCTTCCAGACACCTGTCCACCGAGTAACACTGATTCGTGGACAAATCATACCAGCTAGCATCACAGAAAAGAATTACAGCCAGGAGCAATTCCTTAGAAAATATTAAACTTTAAGATGATATCTGATTGGAATTTTCTGGTTATAAGAATGCATTCTCGGGCTTCCCTGGTGGCACAGTGGTTGAGAGTCCGCCTGCCGATGCAGGGGACGCGGGTTCATGCCCCAGTCCGGGAAGATCCCACATGCCGCAGAGCGGCTGGGCCCGTGAGCCATGGCCACTGAGCCTGCATGTCCGGAGCCTGTGCTCCACAACGGGAGAGGCCACGGCAGTGAGAGGCCCGCGTACTGCAAAAAAAAAAAAAAAAAATGCATTCTCTTTATTAAAACAACGGTGACAGCAAGTCTCTTTTTAAGGTCCCTTTGTAGGAAAATTAAAAATCAGGAACTCTATTCATTCTTAACATTTCTTTTCTGTCGGAGGGAGGGGCAGCTATTGGGTTTCTGGTGAATAAAGTACAGTCACTGTCAAGTGTTTTTATTCACAGATGCAGAACTGAACCAGTGTGATGAAGGGGCTGCTCTACATCACACAGCAATTCCATGCAGAGCTGGACAAAACCCCCGACCTCTGCACCCTGAACCCAGCGCCACTGTATCACTGGGCTCTCTAGGACCACAGATGGCAGGACCAAATTTACAGGCATATCATTTGACAGGTTCTAGAAACCCAAAGAAGTAGAAGTGATGAATAATGTATACAGTGAGCAACAGAAGGAAGGGTGACGGGTTAGCAAGTCCTCACGGACCAGGCAGGGCCGTGCCGGAAAATGAGACTGGTGGACTGGTGGGGGGATGCAGTACCACTGCGTGGACACCCCGCATACCCCGGCTCCCACCTTCCCTTCACACCGCAGTGAGCCCTCCTTCACACGCGGCCCCCTCTCCTCCCACTGTGGTATAAAGACCATACAGTTCACAGGAAGTGCCTTTTTTCTCACCCTTAGCAGCGAGCAAAGTTTCACCTGAGGTGTAGGAAATCAAGTTGGCTCTACTTACAAAGGCTGAGTGTCTCTCAGCACATTCACTACTGTGCCCCTGGTTTATGTCATGGCTAGGTTTTAATTTTAGCTTCCCAAGCACTCCACTTGCTCGCTCCCCCTCCCCTCTGGTCTTTCATCAGCCCCACAGTCAGAGTCATGAGTCAGAACGTAGGCCAGATCGTGTCACTGCTCTGGACAAAACCTGCATTGTCTTCCCTTTCCTCCGAGGACAAGAGTCAAAGGCTCCCTCCTGCCTGCGAGTCCGTGGGGGGGGGGGGGGGGGGGGCGGGGTCTGCCCCCTGCCTCCCTACCTCCACCCCCTGCTTCACACATGCCAGCCCTCATGTTGTCAAACACACCTGCAACACTTTACATTCGGAGGCTTCGGCCTCAGCCCGCCCTGCGCCTGGAACACATTTCTCCCGAATACCTTCAAGTCATGCTTCCTCACCTCGTGTAAGGCTTTGCCCAGAAGTCAGTTTCTGCCACTTTCTCAAAATCCCACCCTATTTATTTATCTATCTATCTTAACATCTTTTTTTTTTTTTTTCTTTTTTTTGCGGTACGCGGGCCTCTCACTGTTGTGGCCTCTCCCGCTGCGGAGCACAGGCTCCGGACGCACAGGCTCAGTGGCCATGGCTCACGGGCCCAGCCGCTCCGCGGCATGTGGGATCTTCCTGGACGGGGGAACGAACCCACGTCCCCTGCATCGGCAGGCAGACTCTCAACCGCTGCGCCACCAGGGAAGCCCTATCTTAACATCTTTATTGGAATATACTTGCTTTACAATGATGTGTTAGTTTCTGCTGTATGGAACCTTCCTCAACCATGCACTCCCTATTCCTCTTTCCTGCTGTGTTTCTCTCTATGGCACGTACACCATCTAACATTCTTTACGTTTTAAATTTTAACTTTTGTCAGTCTTCCTCTTCCAGAATTTAACCTTTGTGACAGTGGTGATTTCTGTCTGCTTTGTTCATTCACAGCTGTTAAGTTTAGCACCCAAAACAGTGCGTGGCACCTAGGAAGTAGAGAACACTCGAATTAACTACTGAATAAATTATCAAGATGTTTTTGTAAAAGAAAATTCTGCAACGATCTGCCTTAGAAAGAGCGAGGAAGGGGACGTCTTTGTGCAGCTGGACTCAAAGGCTTAGAGTCCTCTGTACTTCCTATTGTGCCAGCAATAGGAATATTTTTAGTAACACTATCAGAATTCCTCGTCCTATGCAAAGTTCATTTACAATCCTTGCAAGGCATTGACCTCTTATACATGAACATCATGTTAGTTTGTTTCCAGTAAGGGTTGGTCGATGACAACGTGTCTACTGCTTGCTTTGAATATGCTACATACAATATACGCTACATACAATACACACTCACCATTTTTCCTGCCTCTGTCTCTCTCTTCCTTCCCTCCCTCCTTCCTTCCTTCCTCAGGAGCTCCTGTAACATTGCACTAAGTCTAGACACACAGAAAAATGTATCTTTTCAATGATCCTTCCCATACGCACCGGGGCATCACTCATCCCTAACTGCTCTTAATCACCACTACGTTGCGGTGATTCTTGCTGTGGGGCTTCCTGTTTTATTCTAACGTAAAGAGGTTGATCTCTGAGACGGAAGTATACCCCCATGTGTAATCCTCCACAGAGTCTCAAAGGGCATCAGCTGGGCAGGTATCTGTGAGTGAGAGCCCTTGAAGTCTCGCCCGCACGGACCACCACCGCTTTAATCTACGAGGAGTGTCAGGTATACAGGATGAACACTTCCAGCAGATGCCAGGATTTGGAGCTTTAAGATGCACTCATTTTTCAACTGATCCTTCGTGGACTGGTCTTGGAAGCATAATAAAGAGATCCCTGTGGAGTCTGCAGAAGGATCCTGGTATTAGTTTGCTCGGGCCGCCATAACCGAAGCCCTCAGACTGGGTAACTTAAACAGCAGGAATGAATTCTCTCAGTCTGGAAGCTAGGAGCTCAAGACCGAGGCGCGGGCAGGCGTCACTCCTGATGAAGCCTCAGGCGGCCACCTCCTCACTGTGTCCTCACCTCTTCCCCTGCGCACATGCCCGCGGTGTCTCTGGGGGTCCTAACCTCCTCTCCCTCTAAGGGCACCATGCTGTCAGGTTGGGGCCCACCTACCGGCCTCATTTTAATTCAACCATCTGTGTAAAGGCCCTGTCTCCAAATACAGTCACATTCTGAGGTACCGGGGGTCAGGACTTCCACATGGGAACGTGAGGAAGACACAATTCAGCCCATCACAATCCTGAGGAAGATTTGCCTGTAACTTTCACACGTTTCTCCTTAAAACAACAGACGTGCATTCACAGCAGCCAGAGAGAGACCCTTAGCCTTCGTGAAGAAAGTGCACGAATTATATGAGAAGCAGCCTGAATCCTCTCTTGTTTGCAGGTCATTATAAAGATGCTGGTTAGGACCCCTTAGACATTCCACTGCCTTCCTCAGAATGGGCATAAGCCAGAATTTAGTCATGCAAATAAGGATTTTTAAAGGGCCTTCAGACTCCGCGCCCTTGGCCTAAACTCATCTCTCAGCCCTGCTCCCTCAGCTTCATCCTGGACTTTCTCTCTCATCCACCATGAGGAATGAGCTTTGCTCCAAATGAGCATTATGTCGATTCTCGGACATGCACACATAATTCATACATGAATTCACTGCTTAGACTCTGATTTATCACTCTTGCTCTTTTACCCTAAAATAGTAACACGTGCTGAGAAAAGAGCTCACACGCTGAAAATTAAATTAACATACATCATGTTAAAATATTCACTCATTTGAAAATATGTATTCATTCATATGAAAATATCCATGGAACACCAACAGGAAGGATAAAACAGGTGAAAATGTAGTAAGCAAAAATTATAACAAGGACATAAACTCACCGAAAGATGGGTCTGGACCTTGCGCAGCTGCTGGTAGGGACTCTGCCCTCGGAGGGTCCTGCCCGGTGCGGGTGTCCTTGTTCACCTGCAGCAGCCATGGGACGGTCTGCCAGGATGATCGGTGGCTGGAGCTTCACATCCCATGGTACCTGCTCGACCTCTGGACGGGCTGAGACCACAGATCGGTGATGCCGTCAACAGACTCTAGCGAAGCCTCCAGACAGCAAGGCGCAGGTGAGTGTCTCTGCTGGCGACACTCCGTGTGTGCTGTCACAGCCAGCAGGAGAGGAGTGAGGCCGTCCTGACGCCACGGAGACCCGACAGGTGGACGCTCCAGGTGTGGCCCTCGCTGCACTCCGCCCTGTGCAGCTTTTCCCTCGGCTGGTTTCAGTTTGTGCCTTTAGCTCTAATCAACCTTAACTGGGAGTGGAACAGCTTTCCAGGAACTCCGGTCCCGGCAGATTATCCAGTCAGAGTGGTCTCCTGGCCGATGTTCTGACTTCACTATGATGTAAAAGGAATAAAGTAATTTGAGTGGCATTTACAAAAGAGGAAGAATACAACAGGTAGGCCCAGGGTGAGGATGTGCTAGTTACCTAAGAGAGTTAGAGTTTCCCAGAAGAGAGCGGGGCTCGTGGGGAAGCTGTATGGGGAACAATGGAAGGAAGGTCCTTTCTAGCATACGAGATGGGATGCACACAGGCGGTGGCAAAAAGGGGAGAGCCTGTGTGTGCTTTGAGATCGGACAGCACTGTGACACATGTGGTAGGAACCTGCCCAATTTAGATGGATGTAATATAACTACCCGGGGGTGTGACCTCAGTCCAGGGGTACTGATTTTTTCTTTCTTTCTTTTGCTTTCTTTTCCTCCTTCCTTTCTTTTCTCTTTCTTTCTTCTTTCTTTCTCTTTCTCTTCCTTCCTTCCTTCCTTCCTCCCTCCCTACCTCCCTTCCTTCCTTCCTTTCTTTCCATATAGTTCATTTACAAAGTTGTGTTAGTTTCAGGTATACAGCAAAGTGATTCGGTTACGCTTATATATGTATCCTTATCCAGATTCCTTTCCCATACAAGTTGTTACAAAATATTGAGTATAGTTGCCTGTGCTGATTTTAGACTTCTGGCCTCCAGAACTGTGAGAGAATACATTTCTATTGTCTACAGCCATTAAGTGTGTAGTGATTTGTTACAGCCGTAGGAAACTAAACAGAGTCCAAGAAATGCACCTGGGATCCTCCTAAAGTCCTTGTCGGAAGACTGATCTGCACAACCACAGGATGAAAATGCCCAAGGGTGGGCAAAGGAGAACTGCCAGCAAGGTGTAAGCTGAGAAATTCCTAGAGGTCAGAGAGGGATGGCAGGGGATGGATGTCCATCCAACCCGCCAAAGCAGAGAGCTCTGGGTGAATACCTGGGCCATTTGGTAAAGACTCCAAAATGACAACTACTAGGACTGACAAATCAGGCAAATAAAAATACAGGATAGTCTACTTGAATGTTAGATAAATTTTAGATAAATAACATTTTTTATAAGTATGTCTCAGATATTGCGATTGAAGTTTCACTTTAATGTCCCATTTTCTATTTTTAGTGTTGCACAGGACATACTTTTCCTGAAATAAATGCTCTGTTGTTTATCTGAATTACAAATGTAATTGGACTTTCTAAATTTTAATATGCCATCTCTTCAAACCCATCCTACAAAAGCTTAAGAACAAGCCAGAAACAGGCAATTTAACTACCTGCCAAATCAAAGCCCAAAATTCTATAGAGAAAGACAAGAAAATACAGATATTCAACAATATAATAAATGCAATACCAGCATCTGATGAAAAATAGTCCTGTAAACCCCCATCCAAAAAAAAAAATACAAACAAAATCTGATCTGTAAACTGGATAAAAATTAGTTAATGAAAACAGACAAAAAATGGTAGAAATCTTGAAAGGAGCAGCAAGTTCCTTAAAACAGGTATTGCAAAAATACTCAGGAAATTGAAAGCAATAATGAAAAAAAAGAGGAAAAAGATAGGAAACAAAGAGGAAAAATACACAGACATATAGACATTACTAGGCAGACAAATGAACTTGAAAAGTATAATATGAAATGAAAAAATGTGCTGGTTGAGATTAAAAGCAAATTAAACAGTATAGGAAGAAAGACCAGTGCACTTGAGGACAAAATAATATCAACTATACAAACTGAAACACAGGAAGAAAAAAATGGCAGCTAACAAATAGAGTCTGAGTCATTTATGGGATTATATCACCCTGTTTAACAGATATATAGTTGGAGTTCCAGAAAAGAGAAGAGAGAAGCCAAGAACTAGAAAACATATTTAAAGCGGCCAAGTTTTTCCAAATAAACAAAAACTGTACACCCACAGGTTCGAAAAGCTCAACAAACTCCAAGCAAAATAAATCCGAAGAAAACAGTAAGGCATCATAATGAAATTGCTGTGTCAGTGATACGTGTATCATATAAAAACATTGCCACGTGTAACATTGACGACATACGTTTAAATGTCTCAGACCTATCGCGGTTTAGAAAAAAAGTGAAAAACATCTAGCAGTCTATATATCTATAAGAAAAAATTAGGTATGAAGAAAATTTCTCCCTTCATTAGTTGTCCATTTTCTATTTATTTCAGAATAGTCAGTGATCAACAGAACAGCAAGAATCTCACTTTCAGTTTGCAAAGTATAGAAACTGCCTATCATTAACGGGTCATCACAAATATTTTATTGTCACTAAAGAATAAGAGTTACAACCACAAACGTAAGACACTAAAGCTCACTAGTACACCTGTAATAATTTGATAGTCGTATAGAACAATTCAATATGTTATCAATATTATTTTTAATAACTTTGTTCCATGCATTATAATAGATAATAATAATTCCGTTAGAGAAGGTCAGTGTAGTGGTTTAGTGAACAGACTGAAATAAATTGCCCAGACATATTCCAGTACCATCATTAATAAACCTCTTGACTTTGATCAATTCCTTGCTGCCTTAGTTTCCTCCTCTGTGAAATGGAAGAAATAATCATACCCATCTCATTGGGTTGCAGGAAGATTAGCAGAATAGTTAAATCTTGAAAACACTGTGACTGACTCGGTGGGAGCCAAGAAATCCTCCCCTCCCCTCCCTCCCCCTCTCCCCTCCCCTCCCCCATTCCTTCCCCTCCCCTTTCCCCCTTTCTGCCCCTCCCCTCCCCCCTCCCCTTCTCTTCCCTCACCTTCCCTCCTCTCCCCACAGCCCGGTTAGGATAATTGGTCTTTAACCTCCTCCAGTCAGTGTCATCATATTTTAATCATGATTTAATACACCTTTTCATGATCTCAAATCCATGTGTGGATCAATGGAAAATACCACCAAGGTGTTGCATTTGTTGTCATAAATGGAAAAGAGAGGCTTTCCTTGCCATCTAATAGAGTTAAATAAGATGATTACAAATATTCTAAACAGGACTCTCTCCTGCCCACAATCCCAAACCCACCTCTGCAGAATGGAAGGAGAAGAAAGAGCTCAAACGCGTGCTGGGTGACCTAATGGCAAAAATGAGCATCTTATTCACTAGCAACTCTCTTACAACAGATGTATTCGGTGCAGTGGCATAAATTACACTATTGGTGTGTATTACATAAAGAACCCCTTCAGATTTGCAAGAAATATGTGAAGAAAAATGGGCTAAGCATATGAACTATTCATACAAGGGTAAAAATCAATTAATGTGAAAGTGGAAAATTGACATGCACAATATAATTTCAAAATGCAAATTAAAAGTGTAATGAGATACAGTTCAATGCATATTTAATTAGAAAGAAACTAATCCATGCTAGCAAGAGTGTCTTGAAAGAATATAGATTCAGTTTATTAGTCATAAGATGGCAAAAACTTCAAAAATAAAATAAAAATGTTTTTTCTTATACAAATAAAAAGTGTACTCTTTGACTTAATATCATACTTCTAAGAATTTAACCCAAGGAACTAATGTAAAAGGAAATAAAGTTTATTAAAAGTAATATAAAAGGAAATAAGTTTAGTTTACTAAAATAATATTTATAATAGAAAGCAAACTGGGAAAAAGATAATAGTCTAGGCATTAAATTAAGGTACAGTCATTTGATAGAATGTTATTCAGCCATTAAAATAATAAATATAAAACTTCCTTTGGAGCATGAAAAGTGTGTCATATGTTAAGTGAAAATATAAACTTTTCACTAATTACCACTATACATACAGAATAATATATATTTAACAAGAACAAAACAGGGGCCAAATATATTATGATTTGATTAGGAAGAAAGATAATGAATAAATGTTATTTTATTCCTTTAAAATCTACAAGTAAACAAAATATTTGTTCATGAGGACCTTCCATGACCGTTTAATTCTCTGAGGTCTGCCTGTACTGTGGCCAGACCGTCCATGCTCAGGCTGCCTGTGTAAAATCGAGTTATTTTAGGCTTACCCCCCTCTATGCTTATCTCGGGGTCACCTGGAAGTCTGGAACTGACTGTTGATCAAGGTAAGGGGAGGCGGTGTTATAACCAATACTTCGTAATGTGCTATGTAAAGGTGAAAACTTCCCTGGTGGTGACAAACTGTTCAAGCTGTTTCTGGCTTACGCCTGGTATTTCCTGTTACACAGCCTTGTTGATTATGTGATCAGGGTGTAAAACATCCCCCTGGAGACCTTAGGGACGTCTTCCCAAACTAAAGTTCATCACACAATCGTGAGGGTTCAACCTGCCGATGAAGTGTGTCCTGGGCAAACGAGAAGGCTTTGCGAGGCTGCACCTGGACCAGGACCTCACACTTCCCCGTACGCTCGCCACTGCGCTGCTCGTGCCTTGAATAAAACCTTTTCTTTCTGCTTCATAGATGGTTTCACAAACAGAAACAGACTCACAGACAGAGAGAACAGACTGGTGGTTGCCAAGGGGGAGGGGGGTGGGGGAGGGATGAACTGGGAGCTTAGGGTCAGCAGATGGAAGCTTTTACATATGGAATGGATAAACAACAAGGTCCTACTGTATAGCACAGGGAACCATATTCAAAATCCTCTGATAAACTATAATGAAAAAGAATATAAAAAAAGGTTATATATATATATATATGTATAACTGAATCACTTTGCTGTACAGCAGTAATTAACACAGCATTGTGAATCGGCTGTACTTCAATTAAAAAATAAAATAAATAAATAAAATAAAATAACCTTTTGGGTGTGT